TCTGTTGTCCTATTCTTGACATTTATGCAATCACCTATGTTCACGACTGCCATCTAGTGGACATAAACAATTCAATCATCACACAGTCTGCATGCTGAACCCGTGACCTCAGAATGACCTTTGACAGAGGAAGACTTCTCAGTCCAACCTGACCGGTTCTGACCCTGCTCATTGACCCTTTAGTCTGTTGTTTCATCACTTCCTGCTTAGTGTCAGTTCTGGGTCGGTTCTGGTTGATTCCATGCCTTTAGTAGAACTTTGCATCAAAAATTAATTAAAAATGCATCAGGCCAACCTTCAGCACTTCTCCATGATGCTATTGATTTCTTCAGCGGCTGCTTGGACTAACAACTCATGGCTCATTAAATATTCATGACAGCTTTGGCAGCTCTCTGAAGGCCTGGGTCCGGTTCACAGCTGATGGTAAACATGTTGATGCACAGAAAGGCTTTTGGAGTTATTTTGCACAAAACGAGACGCTTAGACTGAAAAATGATAGAAATATGTGTTTAGAAATCTGTCAAGTTTATCTAAGGTGTTGTTAGCAGGAAGAATCAGGAGTCATTAAAGAAGAGATGCATTTTTGTCTAGTGACATCTAGTGGTGCTGTTCTGTACTGCAATTTGGACCAAATTTTATATGGTCAAAATTTATTATTCAATAAAATAATTCAAAGGAGGAATCAAATCAGTTATTATTTGCTTCCTGTCCTACAGTAGAAGAGTTTCGTCTCATTACAGAAACTCCCAACATGATTGGTTGAGCTGCAGACCAATCAGAGTTGGTCCTGCTGATGTCAGCATCTTCACCACTAGATAAGAGATAAGATTACCCTCCCTCCCTTGTTACCCCTCCCTCCCTTGTTACCCTCCTTCCCTTGTTACCCCTCCCTCCCTTGTTACCCCTCCCTCCCTTGTTACCCCGCCCTCCCTTGTTACCCCTCCCTCCCTTGTTACCCCTCCCTCCCTTGTTACCCCTCCCTCCCTTGTTACCCCACCCTCCCTTGTTACCCCGCCCTCCCTTGTTACCCCTCCCTCCCTTGTTACCCCTCCTTCCCTTGTTACCCCTCCCTCCCTTGTTACCCCTCCTTCCCTTGTTACCCCTCCCCCCTTGTTACCCCTCCCTCCCTTGTTACCCCGCCCTCCCTTGTTACCCCGCCCTCCCTTGTTACCCCCTCCCTTGTTACCCCTCCCTCCCTTGTTACCCCTCCCTCCCTTGTTACCCCTCCCTCCCTTGTTACCCCTCCCTCCCTTGTTACCCCGCCCTCCCTTGTTACCCCTCCCTCCCTTGTTACCCCTCCCTCCCTTGTTACCCTGCCCTCCCTTGTTACCCCTCCCTCCCTTGTTACCCCGCCTCCCTTGTTACCCCTCCCTCCCTTGTTACCCCTCCCTCCCTTGTTACCCCTCCCTCCCTTGTTACCCCTCCCTCCCTTGTTACCCCGCCCTCCCTTGTTACCCCTCCCTCCCTTGTTACCCCGCCCTCCCTTGTTACCCCTCCCTCCCTTGTTACCCTCCCTCCCTTGTTACCCCGCCCTCCCTTGTTACCCTGCCCTCCCTTGTTACCCCACCCTCCCTTGTTACCCCTCCCTCCCTTGTTTCTCCTCCCTTGTTACCCCGCCCTCCCTTGTTACCCCGCCCTCCCTTGTTACCCCGCCCTCCCTTGTTACCCCACCCTCCCTTGTTACCCCGCCCTCCCTTGTTTCTCCTCCCTCCCTTGTTACCCCGCCCTCCCTTGTTTCTCCGCCCTCCCTTGTTACCCCTCCCTTCCTTGTTACCCCACCCTCCCTTGTTACCCCGCCCTCCCTTGTTTCTCCTCCCTTGTTACCCCACCCTCCCTTGTTACCCCGCCCTCCCTTGTTACCCGCCCTCCCTTGTTACCCCACCCTCCCTTGTTACCCCGCCCTCCCTTGTTACCCCGCCCTCCCTTGTTTCTCCTCCCTCCCTTGTTACCCCGCCCTCCCTTGTTTCTCCGCCCTCCCTTGTTACCCCTCCCTCCCTTGTTACCCCGCCCTCCCTTGTTACCCCGCCCTCCCTTGTTTCTCCGCCCTCCCTTGTTACCCTGTCCTCCCTTGTTTCTCCGCCCTCCCTTGTTACCCCTCCCTTCCTTGTTACCCCACCCTCCCTTGTTACCCCGTCCTCCTTGTTTCTCCTCCCTCCCTTGTTTCTCCTCCCTCCCTTGTTACCCCTCCCTTCCTTGTTACCCCACCCTCCCTTGTTACCCCTCCCTTCCTTGTTACCCCGCCCTCCCTTGTTACCCCGCCCTCCCTTGTTACCCCGCCCTCCCTTGTTACCCCATCCTCCTTGTTACCCCGCCCTCCCTTGTTGCCCCGTCCTCCCTTGTTTCTCCGCCCTCCCTTGTTACCCCGCCCTCCCTTGTTACCCGTCCTCCCTTGTTTCTCCGCCCTCCCTTGTTACCCCTCCTTCCTTGTTACCCCACCCTCCCTTGTTACCCCGTCCTCCCTTGTTTCTCCGCCCTCCCTTGTTACCCCGCCCTCCCTTGTTACCCGTCCTCCCTTGTTTCTCCGCCCTCCCTTGTTACCCCTCCCTTCCTTGTTACCCCACCCTCCCTTGTTACCCCGTCCTCCCTTGTTTCTCCTCCCTCCCTTGTTACCCCTCCCTTCCTTGTTACCCCACCCTCCCTTGTTACCCCGTCCTCCCTTGTTTCTCCTCCTCCCTTGTTACCCCTCCCTTCCTTGTTACCCCACCCTCCCTTGCTACCCCTCCCTCCCTTGCTACCCCTCCCTTCCTTGTTACCCCACCCTCCCTTGTTACCCTGCCCTCCCTTGTTTCTCCGCCCTCCCTTGTTACCCCTCCCTTCCTTGTTACCCCACCCTCCCTTGTTACCCCGTCCTCCCTTGTTTCTCCTCCCTCCCTTGTTACCCCTCCCTCCCTTGTTACCCCACCCTCCCTTGTTACCCCTCCCTTCCTTGTTACCCCGCCCTCCCTTGTTACCCCGCCCTCCCTTGTTACCCCATCCTCCCTTGTTACCCCGCCCTCCCTTGTTACCCCGTCCTCCCTTGTTTCTCCTCCCTCCCTTGTTACCCCGCCCTCCCTTGTTACCCCGTCCTCCCTTGTTTCTCCGCCCTCCCTTGTTACCCCTCCCTCCCTTGTTACCCCACCCTCCCTTGTTACCCCGCCCTCCCTTGTTTCTCCTCCCTCCCTTGTTACCCCTCCCTCCCTTGTTACCCCTCCCTCCCTTGTTACCCCGTCCTCCCTTGTTTCTCCTCCCTCCCTTGTTACCCCTCCCTTCCTTGTTACCCCACCCTCCCTTGCTACCCCTCCCTCCCTTGTTACCCCTCCCTCCCTTGTTACCCCTCCCTTCCTTGTTACCCCACCCTCCCTTGTTACCCCGTCCTCCCTTGTTTCTCCTCCCTCCCTTGTTTCTCCTCCCTCCCTTGTTACCCCTCCCTTCCTTGTTACCCCACCCTCCCTTGTTACCCCGCCCTCCCTTGTTACCCCGCCCTCCCTTGTTACCCCGCCCTCCCTTGTTACCCCGCCCTCCCTTGTTACCCCACCCTCCCTTGTTACCCCGCCCTCCCTTGTTGCCCCGTCCCTTGTTTCTCCTCCCTCCCTTGTTACCCCGCCCTCCCTTGTTACCCCGTCCTCCCTTGTTTCTCCGCCCTCCCTTGTTACCCCGCCCTCCCTTGTTACCCCGCCCTCCCTTGTTACCCCGTCCTCCCTTGTTTCTCCGCCCTCCCTTGTTACCCCGCCCTCCCTTGTTACCCCGTCCTCCCTTGTTTCTCCGCCCTCCCTTGTTACCCCTCCCTTCCTTGTTACCCCACCCTCCCTTGTTACCCCGTCCTCCCTTGTTTCTCCTCCCTCCCTTGTTACCCCTCCCTTCCTTGTTACCCCACCCTCCCTTGTTACCCCGTCCTCCCTTGTTTCTCCTCCCTCCCTTGTTACCCCTCCCTTCCTTGTTACCCCACCCTCCCTTGCTACCCCTCCCTCCCTTGCTACCCCTCCCTTCCTTGTTACCCCACCCTCCCTTGTTACCCTGCCCTCCCTTGTTTCTCCGCCCTCCCTTGTTACCCCTCCCTTCCTTGTTACCCCACCCTCCCTTGTTACCCCGTCCTCCCTTGTTTCTCCGCCCTCCCTTGTTACCCCTCCCTTCCTTGTTACCCCACCCTCCCTTGTTACCCCTCCCTCCCTTGTTACCCCGCCCTCCCTTGTTACCCCGCCCTCCCTTGTTACCCCGCCCTCCCTTGTTACCCCACCCTCCCTTGTTACCCCGCCCTCCCTTGTTACCCCGTCCTCCCTTGTTTCTCCGCCCTCCCTTGTTACCCCGCCCTCCCTTGTTACCCCGTCCTCCCTTGTTTCTCCGCCCTCCCTTGTTACCCCTCCCTTCCTTGTTACCCCACCCTCCCTTGTTACCCCGTCCTCCCTTGTTTCTCCTCCCTCCCTTGTTACCCCTCCCTTCCTTGTTACCCCACCCTCCCTTGTTACCCCGTCCTCCCTTGTTTCTCCTCCCTCCCTTGTTACCCCTCCCTCCCTTGTTACCCCGCCCTCCCTTGTTACCCCACCCTCCCTTGTTACCCCACCCTTCCTTGTTACCCCACCCTCCCTTGTTACCCCGCCCTCCCTTGTTACCCTGTCCTCCCTTGTTTCTCCGCCTCCCTTGTTTCTCCGCCCTCCCTTGTTACCCCGTCCTCCCTTGTTACCCCTCCCTCCCTTGTTACCCCTCCCTCCCTTGTTACCCCGCCCTCCCTTGTTTCTCCGCCCTCCCTTGTTACCCCGCCCTCCCTTGTTACCCTTCCCTCCCTTGTTACCCCGTCCTCCCCTTGCGCTGATGGAAACCGTTCTGATAAAACCGATTCCAACCGAGCAGGAGGTCAACCTGGGTTCTGGTATCCGACCTGACCGGACCTGGCAGAGTCCTCTTGGTGTCTCTGCTGGTTCCGGTTCAGACCCGACAGAACCTCTGGTTTCTGGTTCCCGTTCACATTCTAATCAGACCATCTCTGCTCTGCTTTAGAAAGTGAATTTTGATTGGACCCGACCTACCTGAAGGTTGGTGGGAAGCAGGAAGTCACCAGGAAGTCACCTGAAGTCAACAGGAAGTCTGTCACATTCCTGCTTCCAGGTCACAGGAAGACGAGCGGACCTGGCCACCAGGACACCTGGAGGACGGAGAGACGTGTCAACATGCAGCCGCTGCTCCTGTACAAGGATCATCTGAAACAAACTGGTGAAGTTTTCGCCGCCCCCCCACTGGGAGTGTTGGAACCACAAAGGAAGCTCCTCCCTAAACCTTCCTTTGTGGTTCCAACAGCTGGAGCGTCTGCTGATGGTTCTGGTCGGCTTCTAGTCATCTCTAAGATAACCTTTCCAGCTCAGAGCCAGTGTTAGCTAACCACGCTAACAGAAATCCTGCTGTGTCTGGACTTTCAGCAGGATTTTGTCCGTCTTCCATCTTCCTGTAGATGTAAATGCGGATTTATGCATTCAGCACAGCGAGCAGGTTTTAAATAGACCAAACAAAGAGGAGGAAACAAAGCCTGGATAGTCAATAAATGATGAAGAAACTGAAAATACAGCAGGAACCTCGTCTGTCTCCAGAACTCAACTCAGCCGATGGTGAACCAGCTCAGTTCTGAGGTTCTGATCCGACAGGCTCAGACACTCCAGGCAGGAAACCGGACTCGGTTTCAGGTTCTTTCGCAAATCTGGATCAGAAACAGATCAGACAGAGCAGAGCGGAGGTCCAGAAAGCGAACGGATCTGAATCCTGGTCTCCACGTGGAGACGGTCCTGGTCTCCACATGGAGACGGTCCTGGTCTCCACGTGGAGACGGTCCTGGTCTCCAGAGGCGTATTCAGCTGGATCAGCTGGAAAAGGGAAGTGATGCACATTAGGAAGCTTAGCGCTGATCTGTGACGGATCTGATGGAGACATGCAGTGATCCGTGTTAATCTGCTGACTAATCATGTAATCCACTGACCGTCTCCACAGGTTCACAGCTCTGAGCGTCAGGCTAATGAAAAACTGAGGAGATTATTTAAATTAATCCTGTCACAGTCTGATCCACTCACAGGCGCAACCAGGAGCTGCAAAGTCAGAACTCAACCTGCTCACCATGCTAACAGAAAGCCTGCATGCTAACCACGCTAACAGAAAGCCTGCAGACTAACCATGCTAACAGAAAGCCTGCAGGCTAACCACGCTAACAGAAAGCCTGCAGGCTAACCACGCTAACAGAAAGCCTGCATGCTAACCACGCTAACAGAAAGCCTGCAGGCTAACCACGCTAACAGAAAGCCTGCAGGCTAGCCACGCTAACAGAAAGCCTGCAGGCTAACCACGCTAACAGAAAGCCTGCAGGCTAACCACGCTAACAGAAAGCCTGCAGGCTAACCACGCTAACAGAAAGCCTGCATGCTAACCACGCTAACAGAAAGCCTGCATGCTAGCCACGCTAACAGAAAGCCTGCAGGCTAACCACGCTAACAGAAAGCCTGCAGGCTAACCACGCTAACAGAAAGCCTGCAGGCTAACCACGCTAACAGAAAGCCTGCAGGCTAACCACGCTAACAGAAAGCCTGCAGGCTAACCACGCTAACAGAAAGCCTGCAGGCTAACCACGCCTCCTCTGGTCCGGTTCGACCTGCTCTGTATCCAGCTGATCTCAGAACGGACCAGAACCTCCAGGTTCTGCATAGACCCGGCGTTTGCCTGCAGCCTGTGGTGGAGCTGGGTTCTGGGCCCATGGTGAGCTGGACCAGAACCTTTAAAAAAATACATGAAAGTAGGAAAACTTTAGAACACGGCTGCAGTTTGGAAAGTTCACAGCCAAAAGTTGGATTATTTAGTTATATTTTGTTTCTCAGTTTCTCAATATTTAGGTTGCTGGCTAAATATTTATTGTGCAAGATAAACATCTCAGAGCTACATATTTAGTTAGGAGACGAGCAGCTGAATGAATAAAATTGTGAAAACATGAACCCCCATGTCTTTAGTTATGAGGCAGAATGAGCGAATGGTTTCTGGAGCCAGGCGGACTCAAACCTCCATCCTCCTCTCTGACATTTATTGGGCCCATTTCCAGCCGTCTGCTTGCAGAGTCTTAATGATTTTAAAATGTAATTCGCAGTTAGAGATTAAACGAGTTGTTCTCACTGATGGAAGCAAGAAGTGGAACAGAGCAGCAGACTGAAAACCTCCTGCTTTTCTAAGTGGAGAAGTTAAAGTCCTGCTGATGAGCCGGGCAGGAGGTCGGCCGACCCGGTTCCAGACGGACCCGTCCTCTCTGGTGGACATCCTGTTTGCTTTGACAGGAACCTGGGGAAATATATATTTGCTTTTATTTAAAGGTTTTGGATTATAAACACAACCCGGTCCGCACCAGAACCAGAACCAGAACCAGACATGGAGAAGCAGCATTCAGCTTCTATGCACCACAAATCTGGAACAAACTTACAGAAAACGGCAAAGCTGCTGAAACACTGACTTCCTTCACATCCAGACTGAAACCCAGCTGGTTGGAGCTGATCTGATTATTGGTATCTGGAACATTGATCAATATATTGACTGATGGAATTTGACCAGCTGTTTGTTTCATCACCACCTTGATCTGCCTGATGCTCACAATCTTCAGATATTTCCTAACTAGAACAGACTTGCAGCCTAATGAGGAAACAAGGAGGATTCTGGGAAGTTTCAGGAAGTTCTGCTTCACATCCCAGAGCTGCTGCAGAAACTGCATCAACCTGCTCAGCTGCAGCATGCATGCAGTGCTGCAGCTGCTAACAATCAATAAATCAATAACATCTTTAATCTCTATCCTGTTCCACAGCAGCAGCATCAACATGTCATGTTTGGCTGATTACAGAAGATTGATCATCAAACTACGACCCAAGATGATGTTTAGGTGATGTCAGATTTTAATGACTGGTTGTGGTTTGTGGTTGGAGGTGAAGCAGAAACTCTGGCTGAAGTCAAACTTCTGCTCTGGCAAACAGAGACGCAGCAAAGTCCTGAGGTACGAAATAAACGGCCAAGAAGCTTCTGCTTCAGCATTAAGATCCATTACTGAGGAGAAATAAACGCTTTCTCTGCATTTATGTGGATTTGATGCACGCTGAGCTCCGTGTCTGAAATATGCAGCAGACTGACATTTCCTGCTAATGTCAGCTGCAGCGGAGGAGTTCCCAGAGGAGAGAACGGGATGCTGACTGCAGCTCTCAGCTCCTCCAGCTTTCACTCATCGCCTCGTTAAATATGAAACCAGACAGTTGTTTGTCTATTAGTGCCACTAATGGCAGCCGAGCCAATAAAACTCATTACATGAAAGGAGCGGCGCGTTAACGGAGCCCTGCCCTGCTCATCTGCCCAGCCAGGTCCAATCCATCATCATCATCATCACTACAGCAGGACACGGGATGCCAGGCAATGAGGGCTCAGAGGTCAGAGGTCAGGATGAGGGTCTCTTGAAACGGCACCACAGAGTAAAAACTCCAGTTTCCTCGTATGTGGACAATGAGCTCGCATCAATCTCCTGCAGGACCAACGATTAAATATGGACTAAATTATACCAATAACACCACCAGTCCCCAGGTTTGCTGCCCTCAAGTCTTTGGCAAAAACATATTTATCTAAAAGGTGTTAGATTTATGTCCGGGTATAAATCAAATACGTCTACCAGCTCCAGCAGAGACTCTGGTCCAAAAAACAACCTGATGGACCGGGTCAGCAAAAAGCACGATTCAGATCAATACTAGTAACATTTCAAATTTCCACACATAAAGTCTGGGATTACATGAATTCAGTTTTATATTAATCCATGTTGCGTAACAGATATCTAGTCATTCATTAAAAATGAACGACTAAATGCATCATCAGCATTTCACCAACAGCCACCAGATTCATTTTAAAACATCATGAAGCTTCGTAGGCGGGTCAACCGAACTGTTCAGTTACAACATTAACTGCAGACGGCCAGCAGTCCTGCTCCATGAGGACAAACCGATTCAAGCACACAGTCCGAACCACGGAGCGGGTCATGCAGACGAATCGCGACCCGCAAACAGATTCTAGCAGTGAAATTAACAAACAAATTTAAAAAAGGATCCTAACAATTCGGCAACTATATATCAAGTTTTCATCAAGTTTTGGGACATGAAGGTAAACCGCTCCACTCCTGCCCTGCATAGCCAGCATTTTATAACAGCGCCCCCCAGTGGCTGGATGAATGAACATGTTTCAGGGTGGTGAAGCTGGTGAAGACGGCAGTTATCCGTTTCCCCTTCGTAAGGTTTCAACAGCTGGAGGTTTCACCAGGGAAATCTGGCTGCTGATCCGGGTCACGACCTGTCCTCCCACAGAAACCAGTTGCTCCAGGACTGGGAACCTAAGAGGAGCTGCTGGTCGTCTTCTAAGCAGTTTGTGGTGAACTTCACATCATCATTTGGACCACAGTCGAGTCCAGGCAGCTGGAGACAACTTGGACTTTGTGTCCCATCCAGATGGTGCCAGAGAGGAAGAGGAGCAGTGGACTCATAAAAACTCCTCTACAGTCTGACTGAGAAAACTGGAAATGACAGAAACATCTCTGAAGTCTCCTACGTGTTGTGATGAAGTTTTGACCTCTGACCTCCTTGCTGATTCATGGAGCATCAGCTCCACTCAAAATCAAAGTGACTCACATGATATTTCTGCTAATACATTACTGACATTTTTAAAGTTGCCTTTAAATGAAAAGTGTTTTTGATTTTTCCTCCATTTGTTGAAATAAACAACGACAGAAACAGACGACCGGATCAGAACCGGCACCAGCGGATACAGCTGGAGAGGCAGGACTGGACCCTGCTGAGCCGTGTGTGTGTGTGTGTGTGTGTGTGGGGGGGGGGGGGGTTCCGGGGACCACGGCGCCTTGTGGGGACATGTTCTTTATCCCCAGGAGGGAAATTGTTGTTTTTGGGTCTGTGATGGTTAGGGTTGGGTTAGGGTAAAGGTTAGACAGTAGAAATGAATGAAAGTCAACGTGTAGTCTCCACAAGTGATGAAAACACGACTGTGTGTGTCAGATATTACCGCATTCAGCTGAACAGACAACTACTGACATCAACATCTAAAGCTCAGAGACACTCTGGACCTGTGGATCCGGACCTCTGGTTCTGGTCC